GGGGGGGACAACATGGCGGATGCTCCACAGAGTGGACATAAGAAGGAGTTTTCGCCACGGGTCGTCTAAACAATTAGTCAATAACAACAATAATATCGCTAACAATCGAGTCGGTGTGAGGGAGGGGTCGATTGCCCCGCACACCCTTGAGCGTGTCCGGAGAGACTTGCGCTCTCGGCGACTAGTTGTACGTTTCTCAATCGTATCACAAATGTGTAACTCAAACGTCACAGAACATAAATATTGAGCCGTGGACCGGGGGGGTCGTTTCTCAGTCTTGGTGAGATTGGGGGGTTTGTGGCGTTGGTGCTGCCCTCTGCCGTTGTTGCCTTCTCTACTTCTCCAATTTGTAGCTATCCCAGTCTGTTAAAAAGTAATTGAAAAAAAGAATGAGTAAAACGAACCGGAAACACTGAACGTAATATGCCTCGTTAGCGACCCGCGGTTTATTTGAACTCATTCGAGGAGAAAAGACACTCACCGGCGATGTGCTTCCTGCACTTTTCGATCTCGGGGAACCAGTCGCCGGCGGTGTAGTTGATCTTAGGCAGCTTGCCGCCGTAGTCGGCGGGCAGGTGGTTGGGGTCCATGTGCTTGTGGAGGGAGGCCATCTTGTCGCCGTGGAAGAACAGCTGCAGAGGACGCAAACGTCAGGACGTTGTTAATGAATAAAATCGTCACTGCTTGCTTACTGTGTAAACCTCTCTGGCAGTGGCTGATTCGCCCAGGTCACGTACGGGCGAGTTTGCTTATCAACTCTGGCCATGCGACCCCTTATGGCAACCCATCCGCTAAACTGCAAGCGGTGCAGTGTGTGTGTGCAGTGTGTGTGGCCATACGGAAGTGGGCGGGCGAATCAGCCGCATCAGCCGCCTTGTTGTTTTCACAAAACAAATCATCACCCCCGAGACCCGACACTCACCCTGCCCTTGAGCTTTTGGCGGACGAGGGGCTTGAACATGGTCCACACCATGTTGAAGAGGAAGGGCTGCTTGACGATGTGCACCTCCTTGAGCCGGAGCGGCATCGCCTCCTGGATGAAGTTGAGCAGGCGCATGGAGAAGGTGGGCGAGAAGCCCGACACCTGCTTCATGCCGAGGCCCTCGAAGTCGAGGATGACGACGACGCCCGCCACCTGCGACTCGGGCTCGAGCATGGCGGCCAGGTGGATCAGGTAGAATATCCTGAAGATCGAGTCTGTGCTGACTTTCTTGGGATCCCAGGTGGCTGCAACACGAAGCACGCCGTCAGACAGGGAAGCCCATCCCACATACGACTTTTCCCGAACCCGACGGTTGTTGTGAGCTCACGCACCTCCGCACTTGTTGATGAGGACCCGACGGCCGTTCTGGTCGCGGTCGACGAGCACGTTGACGACGTCCGAGTTGAGCATGGCATCTTTCTCCGTCTCGGGCTGCAGGCCGTTGAGCAGAGCGCCGTTGTCCTCCTTGAACTTGAGCGTGCGCTTGATCTGCAAACACAGGTCTCATTGTAATATTGAACCACGGTGTTTTGAACACATCCCGCGCTCATATTCCTCTGGCGTGACAAACTATCCCGGCTGTGGAAACGTTATCGAAGCAATAGATGCTCTCAGGCAGAATCGATATCGTTTCGATGACGTTTTTCACGGCCACACTTGGCGCGACGGGTTGCAACCATGGTTGCAACAAACAGCGACCCGTATGGGACATGCCGTCTGACACGTTGCTGCTGATAAGGACTTTGTTTTCGAAAAAGGGTTGGCCAATGTATTGGAAGGTCAATTATTAGTAGAACCCACCCCAAGGCAGGAGCTTCTGACTGCCACGTGCGCCGACCTATAAGTAGCTGGTGTGGGCCGAAAGCACCACCCCACCGCTAAGGTGGCCGCAGCAAGTGTCGATGATTCCAGAGGCGTTATTGTGCAAGCGATAGCGGTCACGACGGCCGGGGGGCAATCTTAGACTTTGAGTCTTATCAGCTGCGGAGGACTCGCGGCCGCTCCTCCAACGACGGACACGTGCTCCGATAGTGACTTGCTCTTCACAAACACAAAACTCACCAGTTCGAGTGCGCTCTCGGGGTAGTACTTGCACGGCCTCAGGAAGATGATCATCAGGTTGTCGTCGTCCACGTTAATTTTAATTTTGCCGTCGGCTGCAATCAGAGGAGCGGCGCGGTTAGAGGGGGAAAAACAGCACGCACGAGGATGCATAATTAGTCATTTAAATCATTGTAATCGTTATCAGCTCGTGAGCTCGCCCCCCCCCCTCTCTCTCTCTCTCTCTCTCTCTCTCTCTCTCTCTCTCTCTCTCTCTCTCTCTCTCGGGCACGCCGACGACGCGTGTCAAGTGGGCCGGGCTGCCGCACTATGTAAAGTCCACTAGAACTCGAAGAAATCAGGGCGCCGTCGGAGTACTCTACTCCGCACTTGAATCTGTCGTTGCTACCGGCGGACACGTGGGGCCGGCCGTGGGGGGGAATCACGCATGGCAATCCTTGAGGACAGCTCAAGGTTTCTTTTTTGTTCAGAGGCGCTAAACGCAACAATGAGTTTAACAGCACCGAGATCACCGGAGTGCCCCCCTCCCCCCTCCTTTAGTGCCTTTAAACGCAGGTGCCTAGCGATGATGTATTCGCATGGCGCGGAGGGGGTGAAAAAAAGAAGAGGAAGGTGTCAAAACCGATGTCTCAGAGGTGAGATGCATCATCAATATGCAAATAGGGATTGAGAGGAAGGGGGGGGGGGGGTCCTTGAATCGTGCGTTCGGGATGGAGGGACACACTGCCGTGTTTGTTCAGGCAGCGTTCGTTCAGCAATTGAAGAGGAAAGTGCGCTGACATTTGAAACGCGAAAATCAAAATTCCATCTAGGGGAAATTACAGCGAATTTTTTTTTCAAGTGGAAAATTTGGGGTGTTTCGGGTCAATGATATTAAGACGGAGCCAATGACACATACGTTGCCTCCCTGGTGGCCGGTGGCTCGGCCCGCGGGAACCCCCGCTTACTGTGCGCACGCACGTTGTGCCACCTTCCCCTATTCTCTATCTGCCGCCTCAAGGTAGACGGAGAAACAGCCGTACATATCGCTGTATTTGGGCGTCTGGGCCGCAGCCCGTAACTTGGGGAAAAAGGGGGGGGGCGTATTTCTCACTTCTGCCACCTTTGGGGCCGTAACTAACCACCCGGTGTTCAGTGCCGGTGGCAAAGTGTTTAAGAGTCAGCAAAACGTTCAGAATACAATACACCCCCTTCCTCCCCTTATCGTTCCGAAGCCAACTGTGCCCCCCCCCCCCCACACACACATGCATACACAACACATTGTTGCTGCTCAGACGGGAGGCAGTGCACATCAGTCAGCGAGGAGCAGGGGTCCAACAAAAAAAGTTGGTAAGAAGTGAGTGAGTATGGGCTGACGGAGAAGTTAATCACTGAATTACCATAAGCGAAGCCACCTCAGGAAGTGATTCATGCACACGCAGACTTGACAGTAAAGCACAAGTTGACGAGGTTGGCGCGAGAGCGGCGAAAATATAGAGAGCCCTGGCGTTACTATTGTATATCATGTCACAACTGGCAAAATGTGAAGGGGTAGGGAAGATATTAGAAAACGTAAAACGAAAGCAGGATTTAAAAATATCTGCTGTATCGATTAAAATTTTAATTTTGCATCTTTTAACTTCCATGCCAGGTAACTGAAAAACTTAAACTACCCGCGCATTCAGGCGAGAAGGCATGAGACATTAGCACTACCCGCGCACACCTTCAATTTCAACTCTGAAATAGACTTCCACCAAAATAAAGAGCGCCATCAAGAACTCAAGATACAACTGGACTGGGCATGAACTAAGAACTAAGGATCCGGATCCCTACAGGGTGCTTGCGGTGGTATGAGAAAGTGACTTGGGGCAAGAGAAGAGAATGAAGATCAACTGTCTTGAACAAAGTCTCATACCGAGACCCCCTGCCCGACAGTCCGACAATGCGTTGCAACCACTCTTAGTTCCTTACAAACAGCGGTGTTCGTATTACGAAGAATTTGTTTGTAACTTACAAAGGATCTAAAGCAGCCATATTACGAACGATTTTCCTTCATATTACGAACACCCCCCATTCGTAATACAAAAAGCCTCGTTTGTAATACAAACCAGGCTCTTCGTAATACAAACAATTTGTTTGTAATACAAATGCTCCAAATCATTTGTACGTTACGAAGAGCAGTTGTTCGTAAGGAACTTACAGTGACAATGAGCTCAACTTACCCTTGATGAGTTCGCGCAGCTTGGCCACGGACTCCTTGACGAGCTCGGGAGTCTCGCGGAGCTCCTTCTCGGCGATCTGCCTCACCTTCTCCGAGATCGGAGCGGTCTCCATTTTGCAGCGTTCTGCCATCTTGGAGTCTTATTGTATAGTCGGCGACTGCAACAGAGGAGAGAGCGGGGGCGTCAGTTTGACCAACTCAATAAGGGAGAATCATCCGGGGGAGGTGGGGGTTAGGGAGTTGACTAGTGACGTCGGCTAAGCAGGGTTTATAGTTTGAAAAGTACCTAATCGGTCTATCGAGGCAAAGTACCTTGGTACCTAACGAGCTATCGAGTGCGAGGCAGCCTCCTCGGTGAGGTGCGAGAGCGCTGACTGGAAGAACTGAGTTTGTCACGCCGAGTACTTATGGCTCCCCTCTACCCAGCCGATACCGACCCCTTGACACCAGGTCCCCCCCGCCCCGCCCCGCCCCGCCTCACCCTATCTTCCCACGCCCGCCCGCACGGTGGCCCCCTTGGAAAAAATATCCAGGCAGCAGTCGGATGACTGGCTGGCGCACCTGGTGGTGGGAGTGCATAGTATGAAGAGGTGAGCTGCCCAACGTCAGGTTCACCAAATTTATAGAATTTGTAGAAAATGGGTAGTTGAAAGGGGCGTTACAACACTGTTTATCTGATGCACAACTTCTTCCCTGAGGGATAAGGGAGGAGTATCAGCTGAAAGTGAGGACGTTTCACCACCACGTCCGTCATTTGTTACATAACCGCATGTGACGAACTTTGTCGAAGGGAGAGTTCAGTTATCCGTCCTTGGCCCTGACTCTCGCGGCCCCGCAATGCGTACGAGCGAGCAACACACCCGATACGATTTTCCGATCAGCAACAGGTTGACGAACCCGGCATAGGAAAATTCGCCGTGACGAAAGTCCGACCCATCTCTCACGTCAGAACGACACAACCTTGGAGGGCTTATGAGGCAAGAGGCGGGGCTTTCTGATAATATTATTGCACTGGGTTTATGCCCCGTTCATTCGGTCTTCTTTCGACCTCGAGCGAGTAGAACTTGCAAAGATCAGCCCCTGCAAGGTCCCATAGCGCCTGATACGTAGGCAACATCCGGTGTGCCGTGCATGCGTGCACTGCGGGTTGGCCTACCCTGAGACTCGCGGGCGCCGACCTCCCGTAATTTCCCGAATAAATACGAGAAAAAAACGAACTTACTTTCTGGACAATTCCCACCTACAAACCACGAAAATAACCTACAGGAGAACACTCTGTATCAGAGTTGAAACTATTATTTTCGGGGTGTACCGCATCCGACTCGGCGCGGAGTCGGTGTCGGCAGCGCGTGTGGTTCCGAAAGAAGCGGGACGCACTCGCCGCCCGGTGACGTCACTCGAAGAGCAAACGTTTTTCGAACGTTTTTGGTTTGAGTTTCCTTTAAAGATTTTTTTTCGCGCGCGCATCTCGGGCTCCTTCGATTATCGGCGCAGAGAGACTTTGGCGACGACAGGAAGAGTATGCCTTGACATAAGCCGGTCCGTCAGGGTCAGGGCTGCTGGGCTGGGGGAGGGGAGAGAGAGGGGGGTACTCATACACCGGGCCGCTTAGAGCCAGCGCGTGTAAGTGCGTGCAGGTCGCCGTCGAGGAGAGCGGCGGCCTGGAGGCGACACGACCGGCGCACAGGCATTCGCCCGGCACTCGCCCGGCACTCGTGCGGCACTCGTATGCACATGCACACTGTCAAGCTTTCGGCACACGTGCAGCACTCTTGCACGCGTGTGGAACTCGTGAAGCACGCGGTTACTCTTGCGGCACACGTGTGGCACACGTGCAGCACTCTTTCGGCACTCGTGTGGAACTCGGGAAGCACGCGGTCACTCTTGCGGCACACATGTGGCACACACGGTCACTCACTCGGCACACACGCGGCACACGATCACATAGGTGCGTGGAACATGACGTCGACAAAGCCATAATAAGATCCCGGCGCAACTCCTGGCGCGCCAATATTTTCTAATTTTTTCATCACTAATGCGGTGATAGTTGGCCGATGCGACAACGAGTTTGTTGTCGCTGATGATACGATGGGGATAAGAGATGGATGCTCGGGACGCGGAAGGAGCGGTATTAGGTCCGGCTGACTGGGGTCGCGATGTTCTGAGTGGGTTTTCAGGGGTTTCACAACGAATTGCCTACTTTTCAGTCGGCTTCTTCGGGTTGCCAGGGTGAAAAAAGGGGGGGGGGGGTGACAGGGGCAGTCGACTGCGGTGACTGCAGGTAAATAGATAACCGATGGCCGAGATAATATAATGATATCCCGCTAAGGAAAATTTTACCCATTCGGATATGAACGCCCCGCGACACACCCTGAACTTCACGACCGTGAGTTTCCTACAGTGCTGTGAAAAGAGTACCCCGCTCCCTACAAAAAATACAACATAACTTGTACCTGACCCCTCCCCAGTACTCACAGAGCGCGGTCGCGGGCCCGGCGCGGTACTACTGCCGCTCCTCGGCCCGGCCCGGTCCGGCCGGCAGTCAGCTGTTCCGCGCGCACCTGAGTCCACTGGGACTCGGCCGAGCAGTGCAGCGTGCGCACGACCCGGGTGGCGCTGACGAACCAGCCGGCAAGGCTGGCCCGCGAAAACATCGTACCCAACTCGCTTAACCCACTGGGTATACCTGAATACGAAATGTATGTTTCGCGCAACAAGCTAGTTAGCTCCCTCCCTCCCTCCCTCCCTC